GCTCATATTTTAATTATTTGAGTTTATTCTACATTATGGGGTCCGTTTAAATTTTAGTAGAGATGTTTTAGTATGGCTTTATCGCTTTCGACTGTATTCATTATGTCTGTATTTAGCACTAGACTTGTTAACTGTTGAAGGTTATGCTTTATTTATTACATCTTTCTATTCTCACATTTTATTTTACTAAATCTGGTGGGTGCTGGGTTTATAGAATGATAATAGTAAAAACAGAAACCTTATTGTCAGATATATTATGAATTAGACATAACACATTAATCACATTTATAATGACTTAATGTTTACTTATTTTACAAAAATGTAACACATAAAAATGTGTTTATTTTTAAAATTTATTCTTTGAATAAACGTCACATAAAGAAAAATTAAAATGGCAACATATTTTTAAAATCAGGGAAATCATCATAAAAAGGTGTGTTTATGACTTGCTTTTAGGTGCTCAAATATGACAGCTTTTATCTTTTTTTTCTGCTCTTGTACAACTTGGCAGGGGCTACAGATGAGATCATAATCGTACGACCCTAGCTTAGAAATTGCCAGCTATCTGCTAATTCACTTTGAAGTAGACAGTAGCATCAGGCTTGTACTGCAGTGCATGAATATCTGTCGCTTTGAATTCTTGATAGGTCTGACTGGTCTTTTGAGATCGGCTGGTCTCTTGTATGGTAAGGCTGGTCTTTTTGAGAGGTTGGTGTCTAATGTATGTAGTGTGAGGCTGGTCTATTGTATGTTACGACTGATCTGTTGAGAAAGGCTGGTGTCTTGTATGGTAGGACTGGTGTGTTGAGAGAGGCTTGTCTATTGTAGGATAAGACTAATCTTTTGAGAGAGGCTGGTCTCTTGTATGGTAAGAATGGTCTGTTGAGAGAGGCTGGTATCGTGTATGGTAAGAATGGTCTGTTGAGAGAGGCTGGTATCTTGGAGGGTAAGATTGGTCAGTTGAGAGAGATTGGTCTTTTGTATATTACGACTGGTCTGCTGAGAGAGACTGGGCTCTTGTGAGTTACTGGTGCCTTAATGTTACGACTGGCCTGTTGTGAAAGGCTGGTCTGTTGAGAGATGCTGGTGCCTTTACGATTGGTCAATTGACAGATGCTGGTGTCTTGTATGGTAAGACTGGTCTGTTGAGAGAGACAGATATGTTGAGAGGCTGGTCTGTTGAGAGAGACTGGTCTGTTGAGAGAGGCTAATCTGTTTAGAGAGGCTGGTCTGTTGAGAGAGACAGATATGTTGAGAGGCTGGTCTGTTGAGAGAGGCTGATATGTTGAGAGAGGCTGGTCTGTTGAGAGAGGCTGGTCTGTTGAGAGAGACTGATATGTTGAGAGAGGCTAATCTGTTGAGAGAGGCCGGTATGTCGAGAGGCTGGTCTGTAGAGAGAGGCTGGTATGTCGAGAGGCTGGTCTGTTGAGAGAGGCTGGTCTGTTATGTGGTAAGACTGGTGTGTTGAGAGTGGCTGGTCTGTGGAGAGAGGCTGATCTGTTAAAAGAGGCTGGTCTGTTGAGAGAATCTGGTCTGTTGAGAGAGGCTGATCTGTTATGAGTGGCTGGTCTGTTGAGAGAGGCTGGTATGTCGAGAGGCTGGTCTGTTGAGAGAGGCTGGTCTGTAGAGAGAGGCTGGTATGTCGAGAGGCTGGTCTGTTGAGAGAGGCTGGTCTGTTAAGAGAGGCTGGTCTGTTGAGAGAGGCTGGTCTGTTATGTGGTAAGACTGGTGTGTTGAGAGAGGCTGGTCTGTGGAGAGAGGCTGATCTGTTATGAGAGGCTGGTCTGTAGAGAGAGGCTGGTATGTCAAGAGGCTGGTCTGTTGAGAGAGGCTGGTCTGTTATGTGGTAAGACTGGTGTGTTGAGAGAGGCTGGTCTGTGGAGAGAGGCTGATCTGTTAAAAGAGGCTGGTCTGTTGAGAGAATCTGGTCTGTTGAGAGAGGCTGATCTGTTATGAGAGGCTGGTCTGTTAAGAGAGGCTGGTATGTCGAGAGGCTGGTCTGTTGAGATAGGCTGATCTGTTAAGAGAGGCTGGTCTGTTGAGAGAGACTGGTCTGTTGAGAGAGGCTAATCTGTTTAGAGAGGCTGGTCTGTTGAGAGAGGCTGGTCTGTTAAGAGAGGCTGGTCTGTTGAGAGAGACTGGTCTGTTGAGAGAGGCTAATCTGTTTAGAGAGGCTGGTCTGTTGAGAGAGGCTGGTCTGTTGAGAGAGGCTGGTCTGTTGAGAGAGGCTGGTCTGTTAAGAGAGGCTGATCTGTTGAGAGAGGCTGGTCTGTTGAGAGAAGCTGATCTGTTAAGTGAGGCTGGTCTGTCGAGAGAGGCTGATCTGTTGAGAGAGGCTGATATGTTGAGAGGCTGGTCTGTTGAGAGAGGCTGGTCTGTTATGTGGTAAGACTGGTGTGTTGAGAGAGGCTGGTTTGTGGAGAGAGGCTGATCTGTTAAAAGAGGCTGGTCTGTTGAGAGAATCTGGTCTGTTGAGAGAGGCTGATCTGTTATGAGAGGCTGGTCTGTTAAGAGAGGCTGGTATGTCGAGAGGCTGGTCTGTTGAGATAGGCTGATCTGTTAAGAGAGGCTGGTCTGTTGAGAGAGACTGGTCTGTTGAGAGAGGCTAATCTGTTTAGAGAGGCTGGTCTGTTGAGAGAGGCTGGTCTGTTAAGAGAGGCTGGTCTGTTGAGAGAGACTGGTCTGTTGAGAGAGGCTAATCTGTTTAGAGAGGCTGGTCTGTTGAGAGAGGCTGGTCTGTTGAGAGAGGCTGGTCTGTTGAGAGAGGCTGGTCTGTTAAGAGAGGCTGATCTGTTGAGAGAGGCTGGTCTGTTGAGAGAAGCTGATCTGTTAAGTGAGGCTGGTCTGTCGAGAGAGGCTGATCTGTTGAGAGAGGCTGATATGTTGAGAGGCTGGTCTGTTGAGAGAGGCTGGTCTGTTATGTGGTAAGACTGGTGTGTTGAGAGAGGCTGGTTTGTGGAGAGAGGCTTATCTGTTAAGAGAGGCTGGTCTGTAGAGAGAGGCTGGTATGTCGAGAGGCTGGTCTGTTGAGATAGGCTGATCTGTTAAGAGAGGCTGGTCTGTTGAGAGAGACTGGTCTGTTGAGAGAGGCTAATCTGTTTAGAGAGGCTGGTCTGTTGAGAGAGGCTGGTCTGTTGAGAGAGGCTGGTCTGTTGAGAGAGACTGGTCTGTTAAGAGAGGCTGATCTGTTGAGAGAGGCTGGTCTGTTGAGAGAGGCTGATCTGTTAAGTGAGGCTGGTCTGTCGAGAGAGGCTGATCTGTTGAGAGAGGCTGATATGTTGAGAGGCTGGTCTGTTGAGAGAGGCTGGTCTGTTATGTGGTAAGACTGGTGTGTTGAGAGAGGCTGGTCTGTGGAGAGAGGCTGATCTGTTAAGAGAGGCTGGTCTGTTGAGAGAATCTGGTCTGTTGAGAGAGGCTGGTCTGTCGAGAGAGGCTGATCTGTTAAGAGAGGCTGGTCTGTTGAGAGAGGCTGGTATGTTGAGAGAGGCTGGTGTGTTGAGATAGGCTTGTCTGTTGAAAAATTAATCATAAAAGCATTTACTAAAGACAACTAACCATGTCGTTGAACATGTACGCCAAACATTTTGTAACCTACCATATAAACATTTCTTAACACGTATCTTAACCCTTAATCTAAAGCTAGTAGTGAATTAACAACTATTAAATTTATTGCACATTCTTGTGGAAATATAATTCGAATTATATTGTTTTGATTGATATTTAGATTCTAGAATGAAGGTCTAGTTTCAAAGCATTGTGTTAGCCTAAAAAATTGTAAACAAATCAATTTGGTTATTGACAATCTGGAAATAGGCTATATTAAACAAATACTATTTGTTTATTATTCTTTAAAATGATAAAATGTAGTAGAATAGTTGAACATAATTAATCAAATATCCTTACCTATAAGTAATGTGACTGCTGTGCTGTAAAATTGTGTGATTGCGGCGTGCGACTGCGTTCCCGATCAAAAGTGTACTGACAAATATAGCGATATTCGTTTTGCGCCGAGATTTTTAGCGCCAGAAATAATAGGCGGTTTGTTCAAATGATTATATCTCAATAATCATTCTACAGATTTCTCTAATATCTTCAGGCATTATGGGGATTCATATTGGCTTTTGATTAATGTAAAAAAAAGAAAATCGAATTTTTTTGAGTTAGACGGTTTGCGACCGAGACCATCGATATATATATATATATATATATATATATATATATATATATATATATATATATATATATATATATATATATATATAATGGAAAAAATATTGACACCCCCATGAGACCATCCTGGCTACACCGCTAAGTTAAGCTGAATGTTGAATGAGATATCTCTTATTACGTGTAGCAAAAACAATATCAATAAATATCAGTCTTAACCTAACAATTATTGACATCAATAGCCGTCAGTCATAGCTTCACTGTTAATGACATGAAAATGTTGGTCATACTTTCACAGGTATATACGTTGGATAGAAGCTTTCGTCATACCTATAGGGTTAGGTTGTTGTTGTTGTAGTGGTAAAGGTCAAATCAAGGTTTGGTTGCTGGTGTTTCTTGTGGTTAGGTCAAAACTAGATTTGATGGAATAGAATATTAAAGTTGATCCACGATACTAATACCTGTGCCACAGAACATTGGTAAGGGGATTGACTTAAAACAGTTTTCCAACCTCAAATATATAGCGAAAAATTCAATGATTAATTATAGTGCTTCCTCGACATCGGAGATTTTTTTAGATACAAGCAGTTGAGAAAGCAAAAATCTGTTTTGACACAAAAGTAAAATTTGAGATGCAAGCAATGCTACGAAGCTAATAAAACTCGTATTTCGATGAATTACTGTATTCATTCAACAAGTTGTCTTTCAATCTATGCAGTCGTATGTCAACTAAGAGCAAAAGAAACAGATAAGTTGATAATTGATGTTACAAAAGTCTGTGGGTTCTCGCACAATAACTGTATACATCAGTTCTTGGTGAAGTCGATTGTGGATTAAACTTTGGTACAGTTACATGGCGAGCATAGGTGTAGCAGACTGGTGCGGAAGTTCTTGTTAAATAAAAAATAGACCAGGAAATTGCTGGAACTGTTGATGCAGCCCATTGTGTTGACAGCCTGATAGAAAATCTTGACGATATTGGGTGGGTTGTCGTCTGTCAGAGAGTACGATGCGTATTGTGGGATGTAGAGAGGCAGGGAGAGGAAGGCGGTGTTGAATGTGTAGACGAGACACACTGCCAACAGCATGCGTGTCGTCCTACTGGTCGAGACGATCTTGGAGGTCAATTTGCTGCGTCTGGCCGACGTGATGCGGATCTTGATGGAAATGACCACACAGCCAGCCACGGTCAACAGGGGCGGCACGATCATACTGGAGAAGATCAGCAGGTCCTGTATCAAGGCCACGGAGCTCAGGTGATCGTAGTAAAACGCCGAGTTTTTAATTAGACCAACAGAAACATTTCTGACGGGGTCAATGCCGAACTGAGTCTCCGACCAGAAGCTGGCGTAGATAAAAATAGAAAACCAGTAGACTGCCACGCCCACCACCGCCGCCCATGTCCGTCCAGGGGTGATGAAACGCCGGAAGTTGAGCGGGAAGAAAATGACCACCAGCCTCTCGAATGTGATCAACATGGGCAGGGTAAGGGCACTCAGTCCGCACGCGTAGTCGAAGAGCGTGAAGATGCTGAAGAACACAAAGAGCACGTGCGTGTCGTGTTGGCTGAAGCCTCGGTACTCGTGGTTCCAGACGGCCTCGTAGAGAATCTTCGGCACACTGTTGAAGGAGATGAGGTACATCATGTCCGAGAAGGCCAGAGAGACCAACAGGATGTTGGAGCACTTTTGGAGCCCGTGCCTCGTCAGGACCGTGATGCTGAGGATGTTGCCCACGACCCCCAGGCCGGAGATGGAGGGGGTCACGTAAAACATGAGGATCCTCATCAAGTACCACGTCATTTCGTTGCTGATGATTTCATAGGTCGGCATTGTTTTATTATCCAGCATCGTGTACAAAAAAGCTGGTAGATTTCACATAAATACGGAACTATCAGCTAAAAACTTTGACCGATCGCCCAAGATGACGTTAAAATTTCTGCTCCTGTACTCACAGCTTTCTTTAAGAATCGAGTTTATACGGCAGTCTTTTTTTTTGCCACACTGAAAAAATCCCAGAAAATTAATTTTTCTTTGACACTAGTTCGGTGAAAGCGTACACTGATGCGTTAAAGAAAATATCAAACAAAAAACAATGTACATAGATGGACATTGAGTAATCTTTCCTTCGACAATAACTGCGAATTAACGAAGTGAATTATTGATGGTTTGGTCGGATGGTAGGTCAAGCTAATGCTTAGTGCTGTTCGATATCAGTTGTCAAGTATTGGAGGTCGGATAGCGTGTCTTAAAAAGTAGATTATTTTCTATGACGAAGACAAAGTTAATTACATAGGGAAAGTTACACGTAGATAATTACACGTTGATAATTAAACCCTTTGTCGAATCTTGTGATAAAACTCACGGAATTTCGAAATGTAACATTAAAGATGTCGAACGAAATAATTATTTCTTTTAAAATTGTCATACAATTATTTGCGTTGGCCTAAAAACTTAAATGTTATGTTGATTTTGAAATCTTTGTGTCGATGTAAAATTAGAAACAACAAACTCTTGCTTGATCTAGTATTATGCTTTGTAACTTTCTAGAACTACAGAGAGTATAGAGAGTACATAGAGTACACGAAGTATGAGAGAGGCTTGATAAAAATTTTAAGAATCACCACACAGGAACATTTTTTTAAATGGTACCTTCGCATTTTTAAAAAGTCCAATATCTAACTAGTATCAACACAAGAATTCCGGCGTCCATCCACACAACTAGCTCCTGCTATGTAGCTTTTCCAACAGGTTCTGACACGAAACTATAGCCAATAGCTCCTCCAAAAATATGTAGGTAACAGCTCCCGTCATCAAGGTGATATTTGATAATTAGAAAATTAAGATCTTTGTTTAATTTGTAAATTCTCGTCCAACATTGGTCAGTTCGCGTGTTATTCAAGTGTCTTGGTGGCCTCACACTAAAGATTAACCTGGAAAAACCGCCATGTTTAGATCGTGAAGCCTCCATGTTCATTTCTACAAATTGACTGATATCCGCATGCATGTAATTTTTATTGACAAATTGACGAAAACATTTGATTCCTTTTTAACCATTGCTGAATGTCGCTATGACATCATTGTTCATGTTGATGTGTAGTGGTGATACACGTATCTAGTGTGTTGACACTCTTCCAACTGTTGAGTGATACAGAAAGATTTTAGCATCTTGCGCCCCCGCCTCCACACATAAGCTAGACCACGGAACTCTATCACGTTTCGGTCCAGTAATGTCCAAGTATGACGTCAAAATGTCCAGACACACTGTAAGCTACTCGTTGTGTTTGCTTTTGTTTCTGGCTTCATTCCGTTTGTTTACATGTTCACACACTCACGGATGTGGGGCCAAGACACACGTCTGCTACAGTACTCACGTCATTAAAAGACCTACATGACAACAATATTTTGGTAGTTCGAGTTCAGTTTGAGTTCAATTTTCTCTGCCTGTAACTCAGGTTGTAAAATTACACATAACATTCTGAGGAGTTACTGGCTTTGATTTAAGTCTAACTGATGTCACAGCAAAGGATCAAAGCAATAATAATGTGGACACATGTTCTTGAGAATGTATGTAAAAATATATCGACAAAATTATTCTTAGTTATGTTTTGACAATGTGTCAAAACGAATACATTCTAAATTCTAATGGATGCTTTTGTAATTCATTTAAATAGTATGAGCATTAATATTCTACAAGTACGGATACATTCACCAAGAGTACTATGGGCTTAACTTCTTTTAAACATTCGCAACAATTGTATTAATAGGGGCATCATTAATCTATGAATGCCCTTCAAACCCTTTAAAAACAATTAAGATGTCTTTAGCTATACATACATGACGATATTTATAATTATATAATTTATTTATGGATGTCCTTAAAATAACTTAAAAACAAGCTTCGACTTTTATAAAATGAAAATGTGGCATACGAAAAATAAACCAACTAAAAAATCCAATTAACTGTGTCAAGAATAAAATAATACAGTTTAAATTTCTCGCACATGTAAAATCTAAATAGTTTAAAGGTAACTCGTTATAAACATCTTTTGTTAAATGTTCAAACATTTTTAAAACACATCAACATCCGTTATCTACTTAGATAGAAATAAGTTGAAATGAAGCAGCAGTAGGATTTTGACAATCAAAGTCCACAGTTTTGTTCAGTTAAAGTTTTCACATTTTACAGCTTTCCAGATGTTCATTTATGAGGACGCTCTCGTCTGTCTGTCTTTCTCGAGATCACTGCTACAAGTGGGAGCCCAATACACGAAATTTTGAGTTTTATTTTTATGGTGGACGTTTACCAAGCGGGTAGGTCAGATTGCTGGATAGTTCAGATCATTGGATAAATCTGATAGATTACCAATTCTCAAGCTAACAAACTTTATAGACAACAAACAGTCAAACCTACAATTGGTTTTTGGTTTCTTCTCTGTGTTCCAGTCCAACGCCTGTTGACATCTTATCAAGGGGCGTGCCCGATCTATCTCAGTTTGCGGACTTTATGTCCTTGTCTAACGGATGTTGTTTTTTGCGACTAGCCATGGTCGTTGTTTCTGGCCATTTTATTTTTCGGATTCGCCGGATGACTCTAGACTCAAGGTCTAGGTCTTGTGTCACACTACGATAGTTCCCTGATATTATTGGGGAAGATTCACACAGCAATAGTTCCCTGATATTATTGGGGAAGATTCACACAGCAATAGTTCCCTGATATTATTGGGGAAGATTCACACAGCAATAGTTCCCTGATATTATTGGGGAAGATTCTAATCTAGATCTGGACTGACAGGGCTGTGCGATTTCAAATTTCCGTATAAAGGTAAAGAAAGTTGTAACACATATGGTTACCAGCCAAGGGGGGGGGGGGAGAATGAAGTTTTAATTCTTTGGATTGCGGCCCCTGTGGGACCGCAACTGAACTGTTGATGTAGTTTTTAGCGCAATTTCCATACTGGACAATTGCGATTATTAACTCGTCATTTCTGGTGATGGATGTGTGTCCGCAGCTTTAAGTCGTATCTTCTCCTCAACGAAGCAATATCGAGGACTAGTTCCAAAGGAAATATGTTAAGCAAGTTCTGAGGATGATTGTGGGCCAAAAAAATTCCCGGAATTCCTTCCTGGATTTCCCGGAAAAGCCAAAAAAACCTCTAACAAATGCAGTTTTTGCTCCATATCTCGGCAACCAGACCACTTAGCGACTTGAAACATTTAACAATCGATTCCTGCCATAATTTACAACAATATTGCCGAAGAAAGTTTTCAAAAATATCCTTTCGTTCGGTCACAAAAAATTAATTAAGGAAATTGCGATTAAATTGTCACTAGACTTTTTATTAACTTGTTTTTTCATGCTCTTGTGAGCGATGTTACCTGTGTCCCATGTCATGTGACATGGGACTATGGGTAGTTTCGGGCCTAGCCGTGTCAGTCACACGCAAGGCTGCTGTCTGTGGACACGTTGACGGTACCAAGATGTAGACCTAATGAAGGTAGTGTCGTTATATAAATTATATTTAGTGTTAGAATACTTATTTGTGTATTCCTGCTAGTGCTGCATGTGCACACTAGTTAGGTTGAGTATTTATTTAAGTATTTATTGTTGTACTACTTATTCGTACTTGTTGGCAGTACTGTGTACTGGCCGAAACATATTTTATTGTACCCGTGTATATTGTAGCCTACACGTGGTGTTGTCATGAATGTAACTTTTTATTTACATTTGTTTTAGGGCTACAGTTTTTTTGTGTCTTTCTTTGGTTTTTTCTCTCTGTTTTGAAATCGTCGTACTACTGTGTTAAGCATCGCCGTCATGGCTCGATGCAGTGAATAAAGCGAGTACTTGACAACAACTGTCGGTGTCAGTGTGTTCTAAATCTCAGGGTCAGCCCGTCTTAACCAAAACACCTCAGTGGGTAAAAGCATTCTCACTGAGTGAGGGTTACACAGTGTTGGTTGTTTATGTGTATTTTATTATGCTAGTTTAAGCGTTAAAAAGAACTCGGACAGTATAATTTAGCGTCAGTGTTGGTGTTTTCTTATAGGACTTCAAAATGTGTATGAAAGATGTGTGAACGAGAGCTAGAGGAGACATTGATGACATATGGTGGACGCATTGTGGAGAGAAGGTGGATACATTGTGGAGAGAAGGTGGATACATTGTGGAGAGATGGTGGATACATTGTGGAGAGATGGTGGATGCATTGTGGAGAGATGGTGGACGCATTGTGGAGAGATGGTGGATACATTGTGGAGAGATGGTGGATACATTGTGGAGAGATGGTGGATACATTGTGGAGAGATGGTGGATACATTGTGGAGAGATGGTGGATACATTGTGGAGAGATGGTGGATACATTGTGGAGAGATGGTGGATACATTGTGGAGAGATGGTGGATACATTGTGGAGAGATGGTGGATACATTGTGGAGAGATGGTGGATACATTGTGGAGAGATGGTGGATACATTGTGGAGAGATGGTGGATACATTGTGGAGAGATGGTGGATACATTGGGGACAGACGTGAACATATTGTGGACAGCGGGTTCCATGGGTATAGGACTTATGTTCTAGCTGACGTCGTTTGCCTGTCAAATGTTTGGAAATATCTACGTGTAGTAGTTACAAATTACAGTTTATATAACTTTATACGTATATGCGAGTTTATAAAAGTTTAAGTAAAAACCCTCAATATCCCAAATGTACAACATTGATACATGTATTGTATAATAAATATAAAATGTTTTCGGATCGCCGAGGATTTTTCTACCTCACTCTTACAGACGGGGGGGGGGGGGGGTTACCTTACACTCTTTATTACAGCAAG